TTTTCTCCTTGCTTGGCAAGGTCCATGGACGATTTTCAATTTTTTTTGAACTTGACCTGTCGATTGAATCTCTGACAATCTAATCGTTTGTGAAGAAATCGACTCAAAGTTTGATAGGAAAGTGTTGTTCAGAAAATCGAACTTATAATTGGAGTAGCTATTTCTGTGCGGTTCTTCTGTAATGTAATTGCAAGGTCGTAATGTTCGCTGTTACAGAATTTCCTGTAAAACTTGAATATTTTAGATCATGTCTATGAGGGGTCCTTCCGTTATACTCGACCTGCTAGCACTAATTGTGCTGGTCTCTGGGAAAGGTATTGTATTGCTTGAAGAGGGCCGGACACAAACCTTTGCGCATTCACTGGAGGAGTGAGTCCTTTTTATGTATTTGCTGTCATTTTACTACGCGCTAGTTCCTTTTAGAGAAGGCTATCATTCTTTATTGATTACATTTTGGAAGATCACTAGGTAAAAGTCTCTAAACTTTCACCAAATTCATTTCGATAGTTCGAAGAGGTGGAACTTCAGAAGGTTGAAACAGGAGCAGCGCCTAAGGCTGACAGTGATATCTAGAAATAGCGTGTCAGTGGCATGCATATTCCGTCTCTCCCGTTACTGGGGACCCGATTATCAAAATATAGCTCCCAGTCTCGTTCACAGCGGATGATGGAGAGTGTCCGCGCTGCTGCGTTTGGCGCGCTGCCAAACCGATTCTCCATCGATTGTTGAAGCTGATGAAAACTGGTGAAAACGGCTGATACGAACTATATGATACTGTTTTGTCACTCGCCGGAAGAAGTATGAAGGGAACCGCGTTGACACGCCCCATCATCCGCGGCCAACAAGACTATATTGAGAGCCTAGGCTGACATTGCATGTCACTCAGAGGCTTCTAGCTGGTTGAATCTGCTCTGGGGTTGTAGAACTGTGCAGGCTGGGAGAAAGGGAAAGGAAAGCTCACTAAGGGATCTAGTTTAAGCGAACAGCTGTTCTGCTAAAACTAAACTTGTCACTTGATGTTTTAATAGACTTTTTATGGATAAAAACTTGGCATAGTTCACGAAATTGTGTTCTGAAGGCCGTCGCTTCCAAACAGTTTGTTTTGTAATTGACCTGTTTTCCAGGCTACCCACTGCTCCCTTTGAAGAGCATTTTCTGGATATTTTGGAGCTTGAGGAGCCTCCTCCTCTATTTATTCGACGCAAGCGTAGCGATAAAGTGGCTGTTTTTATGGAACAACTTTATCACGAATTAGAAGAAGACGTTGACGGGTAATCAGTTCTTGCCACAGTTTTTTAAAAGATTGTTTTTAATGTGACCGCTTCTTTCTTCTAACGGTCACTTTGAACATGAATTTTATTAAGAACCAACTCCAACCACTTGCTCGCAGATGATGAATGGAGTAGTGCCGACAGAATAGTATCAGTCTCCCCCAGAGGTGAGAAACCTTTTTAGACGTTCTGAATTAGTTTTTTGCTCCTCCTTAAACTAAACTAACTTAGTCATGGGAACTATCTTCAAAATATCCTACCTTGCGTATGTCTACCCCTTTTCACACTTACTGCTCTATAGGAAACAGTGGTGCATTGCGTTCATTGTTTCTCCTTGAAAACGCGGGCCTTATATAAGACCCTGGCGATTTTTTGGTTCTTATTATAGAAGTTCTGTTTTTAATGTATTTCTAGGTTAGAATCATCTTGACTGTACTTATAGTTTTCCAGTAATTCTTACGTTGCTTTAGAACTTCAATTTTTTTCGTAGATCAAAGATCCCTTTCTGTTTCAGAATCATTACTATCTGACGGACTTCTTGTTGTAACTTTTGATAGAGGAGATTTTCCGGATACAAATCCTCCCGAATTGATTGCAGCACAGCTGAGGATATTCTTACCCAAAGACTTCTCTGTCGCAAAGGTGTACATTCTGAATAATGCGTGAGTTGCTATCAAGTATCATTTGCAAGTAAGCTACTCCAGTCCTTGTTGGGTCGAAATAGTAAACCAAGGTTGCACATGCCATCCAGAAGAAGTGGTCTCTGACCATGGCTGCAGTTAGATTCACATTATAGTTTTCTTAAGGACGGGCACTCTTGCACTGTCCGACACAGCGATTGCGACCTCGCGTGAGGTAACAGTGTGGTTCAACATTACTCAGCTTGTTCTCGACTGGATGCGGGGATTGTCTGAGCCGAAAATCTTCATCGGAATAGAAAGTGGTCCGTTTAGCTCAGGCAGAATATCTCCCTTAATAGTATTCACTTTTTAGTTGTAGATTCATTCGTGAAATGTCAGCAACTGTTTTAGGCATTGATACTCCATTACCCAAAGAAGAGGTAGAAAGTTTTGTCATAGCATCCTTTATGGATGAGAGAAACCACATTCCACCTCCAAGGACAAGGACGCGAAGAGCTGCAAACCCTGTGCCGTCACAACCGACCGCTGTTGAGCGTAAATCAGTCAGGACGAATCCTTTTATGGGAGCTCGCGGTCAGTTTTACCTCTCAGGACATTTCTTCCCACTTCCCTCGCAACAGCTTCAGATCCTTTAGATTAATCTAACTCACCTTCAAACATGCCAAGTGTGACGTTTTCGTTAAGAATTCCTCAATGACTTTGTGCCGTAATCCCTGAAGCAAAATTTAGGCCCAATCCAAACTGCAGGAACGTTAGTCAAGATGTAGACGTTAAGCGGTGAATACTTCGCGACATTTAGCGTCGTGCTCCCACTTTGCGAACGTGGATAATCCGCGATTTCCGAACCCTTTTCGACAAAAATTAGGTGGGAATTGATTTACACCACTCCAGTAAATGGGGGCATACTCTCTGCCCGAATAGGCAAGCTTTCTCCGATAAACCTGTATAGTGATTAGCCCACACAAACGATCTAATTCCTGTCGGCTTCTGTCAATTCTTCGGTCAATTCCTTATTCTCCAAATTCGGGTACTCATCACTTTCGTTCATAACACAGGGGAGATAAGGTGAATGAGCGCTACACGTTTGAACTGATAAATGAAAAGTGATAGAATATAGATTTGCTAGGTGTGCTGGAGTGGTACTCTTGGTTACTATTTATGGGGATCTCATTTTCGCAGAGCTGATGCTTTTCGGGTTCAAGTCAGGAAGCCATGGCTGTGAATGAAATTAACCACTTTTCACCCTTGACGGAAGTTGCAACAGCGCAGCTAGACCTACAGAGAAAACCTTGGCAAATGGGAAAAGAAAATTGCGAAGGTCCTCTTCATTTGTTCATTGTCCTTTGGCTTTCCTATCACTTGGCAGGTTTATGTGGTAGTGTATTGTATTTAGTAAAAATGATTTCATATAATTTTTTCAAATTTTTTACCAGTACTTTTTAGAAGATGTGGAAGTATGCCACTGCGGGGCGTGCAGAATCTCTATCTCAATTTCGCTGATATTGGATGGCGGGTGAGTTTGCGAAAACTTTACTTCTTGTGTTTTGTCGACTTCACTTACTCATTGACTTGGTGTCTAAAAGACCATACTAGAACTTAGTCGTGTAACGCGCGTTTTGTCGTGAGTGGTAATGCGTAAGGGCTGATGGCGATGGCCGCTTCAACTGCAGATGAAGTGAAATAACAAATCTATGGATTAGGGAGTAGGCATATGAGTAGGATTGGGTTAGGGAGGATAGTTTCTGATACTGTCGTTTCAGACGTTCGTCTGATCACATCTCATATTCTTGGAGAAGAAATCCGGTGGAAATCCATGGAGAATTCAGTAGCATGATATGGACGTACAGTGTTGATGCGCTGCAGAATGCAGGGTTGTTTCTGTTGATTTGGCGCACCGGTGCCCCTTTCTCCACTAAACTGGAAGCGAATAAGCGGGATAAGTGGTGGAACGTTCTTACATCACCAAACCCAGGCACTCTGACCCTCCTCAGCACAAGACCATATGGGGCGGTCTTGTGATAGCGGAACTTGTTGATACTTGATATTTGTTGAACGTGTGATATGAGTCTCGCTTTCTTTCTCTGTTTCTTTATTAGTTACATAGGAAACTCGTTGCTCCATCTTAATTAATCTAGAAGCCGCCGTCAGTCAGAGCTCAATCATCCAGTGATATTACCATATATCTATGCTTATGAATGGCATTTCGTATTTATTTCGAATATTATGCCATTAAACCTCTACTAAATAGGCGAAGAGAATAGTACATCCAGGTTGAATACGCATAGCGATAGCTTTATCAGTAACCGAAGAACGAAGGAAGAAGGTGACGAAAAAGTGTTGCGTTCAGGAATGGGTAATCGCACCGGAAGGCTACTCAACAAACTTCTGTGCTGGCGCCTGCTCTAGCGACTCCCCCATGCATAGCAAGATGAACGCAACGAATCATGCCATTGTTCAGACTTTGGTTGGTTATTCTTAGTTAAGCTTGAATGCTGAACTTGTATGTTGCCTATATTTAGGTCCACCTAGTAGACCCAAAACGTGCAGAAGAGGCAAAATGTGCGCCTATACAGTTGTCACCGACAAAAATTCTTTTCATCGACAACCACGGGAATGTTGTCATGAGAAGGTACCAAGACATGACCGTGCAGGAATGTGGATGCTTGTGAAGCCGACGTGCATTGCAAGTTACCCTTATTTAGCCTTCAGTTTTACTGTCTTGCAGTTGTCGCGTGCAGAATTGCCTCAAGCATTACGCTTGAAGGAGAGTTCGATGCAAAATTAGAAATCGATTCCTGGAGAATAAAAAAAAAGTTAGAGGTTTAGAGTTACTATATATTTAGCGTCTTACCTTGTTGTTTTCGATCCAGTTGCTCTCGCAGGTGCCCGTAAAGTCTCCTGTTCTGGCTAGCAGTAGTTTCTTATTGAATTCTCTGCGCTTGGCGTTTTTTTTTTCTTACTTCACGAAAAAATCAACCATCGGACTTGCCAGTATGTTCATGTGCAAAAGCTCCGAAAAATCCGGTCGGTTGTCAGTTTGCTCCGATTTTTCATCACAAAATCGCTTAAAATGCCGAGCCACTTGATTTCGAACAAGTCGGTACCTCAGCAGGGTATCACACCATTACCGTATCCAGAATGGCCGTAAATTCGAATCAATCGAACCTTTCAACTTCAACTCCGAAGTCAAAAAAAAACATCGCAGCCCTCGCAGGAGGAGAAGAGACTCGATTTCGTCAAATGTTTTGCCTACATGCTCCATTTTGGCACAACTTGATGTCAAAAATGGAATTAAAGCTTTCATTGAAGAAAAGCAAAAGTTCTAGCGTTTATGAGAAGCAAGCCAGCAGAGCCGCTGAGTCCAGTTTTCTCGGCGCTTTCGGCGTATTCAGTTGCCATTCAACGTTCCATGGGATATTGAACCTATTCCCTGGTTGCCATTACAATAGTTTAATAATAGCTTACCAGTGTAATATATACATATACTATCCGGATCATATAATACCTTAGTGGAGTGTAATCAGATAATAGTTTTGACGACAAATGGCGAGCAGCTCCCCAGGTGTTCGCTTTTTCATAGAAGACATAACTTAAGTGCAACTCCTAAGCGTGTTTTCCCTGCAGTGTGACATTTTCGTTCACTTGCTTAATAGGTATCAATTCTGCATCAATTGGTAATCAGCGCATAACATGTCTTCAAGTGAGGCTTCCTCTATTTTTATTTTTGTCGGGACTTATGAAGTACCAAGAAGCAACTTCAAATAGGTGTACGTTCTGTGCCAACTTGTGCATGCATTTTCCACTGGTGCTTTTCTGTTTCGAGATTGATGATTATTTCGCTTAGCAGTAGGTAGCTATTGTTATACGGTTTCTGAAACCGAGTAGTTTTTTTTTGTTTTTTTTTT